ACCTTAAGTGAAGAATGTATTCATATGTATTTAAGCTGAGTTATCTGATAGAAAAACTACATTCACAACAGTTAGAGGCAGACATACAATCAAAATTCAGATTTGTCTCTCAAGCCTCTTTCCAGCACATTATGCCACTCTAAGGAAAAAAATCATGCAGAATTTGAAAGGTAAACAAAAAACAATAATGTTAGAGGTGCTATTTTGCCGTCTTACTTAAAGATTATTATACAGAAATGCCCTGTTAAAATTATCTGACTAGCCTGTTGTTTTTGTTTTTACTTTCTATTTAAATTAAAAAAAAAAAAAAAAAAACAACAACACAAAAACTCCTCTTTAACTTTCAGTACCCATAAATAGTGAATTCACTCTAAATCTAATCCAGTGAATCCTGAGACCCTTCTCCACATTATTTAATCTAATTCAAAAGTTTCCAAATATGGAGCTCAGTAATTTAAAGCCATACTTTTGGTTGCAAATTATGCCATTAGCGTTTTATAGGACATCAGGTTGTTTCTGTTATCTGTATTGAAAATTATTCTGTATTCAAAAAATAAAGAAAAATATGCATATATTTTATAATTAAAGTCCTTTTATTTGGTGATATATCTATGAAAGAATCTTGTAGATGTAGCAATCTTTGCAATGACTATATTAGTCAAAATACCAATTTTACTAAGTTTGCAATTTTGAAGAATATACCACTGTATATTTTTAGGAGGATAGTCTGCCCTTGACATTAATGGAAAATGGTATAATAATTTTAGACCCACTGAGTTTAATCTTAAATATATTGACTTTACTACATTTTTTTTTCTGACCTGATCTGGAAAGAAACAGATCAATGAAGGAAAATATCTGGATGTTTATAAAATCAGGTTTCATGTATTCTCTCATATTTTTTATTCTTCAGTGAGGAATAGCATGGTTCAAATATAGCAATAAATGTTAAGAATATATCTTATTATATGAGTAATACAGTTTAGAAGACACTACTCTTTTACAGATAACTGTTTAAGACAGATAATTGTATTCAAGGCAATAGAATATAATATATTCTGTTGTCTCTGAACTTCTAAATGAAATTATGAAAACTAAATTATATGTTTTTAAATAAGTGAACCAAGTTCATTTGTGATTCAGAATCTTTATTATATTAATCTCTATGAATAGTGGGAAAATATCTGTTTTATTATAGTATCTCCAAATCACAGAATAAGGTAAATTATCAGTTGATTACATCCTTTTAATCTAAGCTTGGAATTGGCACTTGAAATGTCCTTTTATATTTTAGGGGACCCATCCCTTTTTAATATATAGGCAAATGACAACAAATAAACAGTACTCATATAGCAGATAAGGAATGACAGTGTTCCAGATCCCTTAGCCTTTGAACTTTATGATCTCATAAACAGTGTCATACCCCAGTCTTTTAAGAGGTTACTCTGATTCACGTGTAAAAAGAAACACTTTGTTTCAGAAATATAACTTAGTTGTCAATAGCTATCATTATACCTAGGAAGGATATGCAGCAATTTTTAAAAAGAACCTAAGTGGCTATCTCCTTTTTATCCAAAGGGTCCTCATAAAGAGTTGAAGCATTAACTCAGGAAAAAATGGGCATCTATCCTACACCTACAAATATCTAGGGATCATCAAAATTGCTGAGAGTAGGAAATGTGTAAGTAGTATGAACTTTTCAGATTAGATTGGTTTTATGAAGCAAAGTGTTAATTGTACACAACATAGTGAGTAGTAAATGTCTCAGATGCATTACATTACTACATTACATTACTACATTACATTACTACATTACGTGACTACAACTAATAGAAAATATCTACAGAAGTATTTGCATTGTAAAAGTGGACAGGGGATAGCAAAATGAATTAATTGAAAAAATGCAAAGTAAACAATCAAGGAAAAAAGGAAAACAAGGCCATTATTATAAAACTAAATTTTTAGACAGTGATTTATTTTTCTATGTTTCTCTTAAATTTAACCAACTTTTATTTCAAAAGAAATATAAATGCATTGTATAAAATTAGAAAATGCCTGCTAGCAAAAATACAAAATAAGAGCACTATAGTTATACTATCCAAAGACAAGTACTGTTTAATGTCTTATTGTATACTCTAGATATTCTTATGCACATACATGTGCATATATGGATTTTTCTTTCATTGAGATTCAACTGTTTCTAACCCAATCTTTTAAATTTCTAGCCTTCTTCTTCCCATGGCAGTACATTTCTATCTCATCTACTACCTAATCCATAATTACACTTTTCAAGTTACCTGAAAAATGTCTATACAAATGGTTGTCTAAACTAAGGTCCAGTCCAGGATTGAATTTCACACCTTGTTGTTAGGACCAGTGAGTCTTCTTAATCAAAACCATTACCTTATTTTTCATATTCACTTATTAAAGGGAACATACAAGTTTTCTTTTGGAATATTCCCCCTTCTCAATTTGACTGGTTGTTTACTTGTGGCTCATGATTTATTTTTCAAGAATAAATTCTACTGAAATATGAAGAATTTGACCACTTAAAAAGTCCAGCAAAACACTTGTGTACAATTTTTAGGTGTAGAAACTCTAGTTCTTTACTTTTTTGGGTTGTTTGGACCTCTATCACTCCTACAGAGGGGTAAGAGAAGAAAAATGGTAAAGAAATGCAAATCAACCAAGGAACTGCTATTGGAAAAATATTGAATGTAAATGCTAACTAGAAAAACATAGAAATTACTGTCTATTGAGTTTTTTAGTGTTTTATGTGCATTGCCATGACCTAACTAAATAGTAATGACATGACAATTGATAGCTATCCAAAATAAATGGAAAGAATGAAGGCAGAGGTCTTCTTTTGTTCTACTAGGAATGATTCTTCTTAAAATGAAAAACAAGCAAAAATAAAATAGAGCATTTTCTGTTAATTTACGTGACATTGACATGTATTTTCATAAATTCATGCCACTTATTCTTTTGCAGAATAGATGAGCAGAGGAAGTTTAGAGTTTAGTTCAACCTACAGTTAACAAAGTGTTGGGCAATATTCTCAGTCATATATAAATCCTTTGCAATAAAAATATTGGATTGAAGAAAAAAATACAACCCTTTGTGTAGTAATGGCTTTTTCAGGGATATGTTAGGCACTTAAACTGGAAATTATGCCTTGGACTGAAACCTTAAAATATTTTTTGAAATACATATTTAACTGCCATGCTCAAAAATACAATCTTACATACGCCAACACACATCACAATGATGAGTTTGTGTCCATACTATGGTTTAATTTTCTCAGCATAGATTTTTATATCTTTATAAAATTCCATTTAGGAAAATCTATTTGAATTATAGTAACATTCCAGTATGCTATAATACTTTCAGCTATCAGGAAACAACCTTTAGGATGAAATACTTCTTAAGGTTTTTCTGTAGTTTTATATGGCAATATAACAGTCATAATCTTTAAAAGACATAGCCTCATTTATAGAAGTGACACAGATTTTTTTCAAGAGCTGTTTAAAATTTAAAAATTTTATTTAGGATCATCCACTATCATTATTTCTGATGTGTCTTTGAGCACAAGTTTATTTTGCAAAAGTGAGTAATTTTTTTTTTCTAAAAGAATGTAGCTGTGCAGAGTAGATTCTTCTGCAAACAGGAATATAAGATATAAAATATTTTACTATGGAAAGCATGGCCATTCAGGAAGTTCTTTCTTAGTTTCCCTATCTGTCATGGCTTCATGGTCAAATATGTATTAGGTAACACCTATGTGTTTTACTCTGGGCTATTTGCTATGATGTATAAAATTAATATACATCAAGGCTCTGACCACAGAAAGCTCATAGATACTACTCCACTCTAGAACAAGAAATTAAGACCATAAATATTACTTTTCAAGCAAGGAAAAAAAAATATCTTAGAAGACAGTAAGTGTTTAGTTTCAAAATTGTATCTTAGCTAACAATGTATTAGAGAAGCACTTTAAAAATATAAGTCTCCAAAAAAAAAAAGAATATATAAATCTCTAGTGAATCTCTTCTAACCCCCTTTTAGTGTAATACTTAATGTGTAGACATCTTTTATGGGTATATGATGCTTAGGCACACTTTTGATAATCATAATTACTCTTGTCATTATAACTCTGAAAACCTGTCTGACCCAATTCTTTACCTTTTTCCTGCCCTTTAGCCCAGTAGAGTTGTCTAGCCAGAGTTTGAAACAGCACTTTTGTCAACATATCTCTCTTACCGGTACCCTCATGCTCCAGTTGTGGCATTCGTGTATCTCCAGACCGTGCATTTTTGCTTAAAGCAGTAGTTCTCAAGGCAGGAGGTAGGGTGTTGGGGGTGATTTGAGCAGATATTTGACTGTACCTAGAGAAATTGTCATGACTAGAGGATGGGGTGTTGTTGGCTTCCAGTGAAGGGAGGCTAAGGATGTTGATAAAAACCCCAAAATGCATAAGACAGTCCCCTGCAGTGAACAACCATCCAGCCCAAAATGTCAATAGTGCCACTGTTGAGAAAGCCTACTTTAGAGAAAATGTTGAAAATAATATTATATACAACAACAATATTATTAAAATATATTTCCATTTATTTACAGAAAAAGTAAAATAAGAATAATTTAAAATGCTTATACATCAACATTTCAGCAGGTGGTCTTCATTCTATTACCAAGTGTTATTTTGTTGTCGTCGTTGTTGTTGTTGCTGTTGAATGGCATGCTGTGGCCGCTCATCTCCAAAGATCATTTGTATGTGCATGGTTTATTACGTAAAACGCAAAGCAAAACAAAAGGCGGAAATAGTTTTTATTTCCCCCAAAATGTTGTGGCAGCTCTAATGCATTTTGTATTTGTATTTCTTCTAACTGAGAAGATTGTAATATGTGGATAATGCATTTATTACACAACTGCTCTTTTTCTCCCTCTGTCTTGTCTCTCTTCTTACTTTTTTTTTTTTCCTCCTTTTTCCTTCTGGTGGGCAGAACTCCTTTGATTGCAGCGGGAGTCATCGGCGGGCTCTTCATTCTGGTCATTGTGGGCCTAACATTTGCAGTTTATGTTAGAAGGAAGAGCATCAAAAAGAAAAGAGCCTTAAGAAGATTTCTGGAAACAGAGGTATGGTGTTTATTTGTTCTCCGTGTGTTGAGGGACTTCCGTTAGGTTTAGAAGGTTTAGATGATACTCTGTTTTTTAACCCAGGTGAAACTCGGTTCAATTTCCTGCAATGAACGATGCTGAGTTCATAGTATGTTACACAGAGTTGATGAAAAATCGGACTATATGGTAAAAGTAGTCAAGGCAGATTCATGCCCAAAGGAGGACAAATTGTAGGGGTCAAGGAGATTATCTGATGAATGACAGATCTTTTTTTTTTTTTTTAAAGATTTTATTTATTCATTTGACAGACAGAGATCACAAGCAGGCAGAGAGGCAGGCAGAGAGAGAGAGAGAGGAGGAAGCAGGCTCCCCGCTGAGCAGAGAGCCCACTGCGGGGCTCGATCCCGGGACTCTGAGATCATGACCCAAGCTGAAGGCAGAGGCTTTAAACCACTGAGCCACCCAGGTGCCCCATGAATGACAGATCTTACTGAAAAGACTTATCTGTTTCTTTTGGAGGCGGAATCCCACTAGAGTCCTAGGATATTACAGTAGCAGAACTAGAAAACAACCGGGTAGAAGATATCTCAACAGTGGAACTAGGAAAATGTTAGAAAGAGAGAATTTTTCTGATTCAAAAATAAAGCCAGATAGCCAAGCAATTTATACTTTAATTAGGGTCATTAAATTGGCAACCACTAGTCCCATTATACCAGTAGTGAAAAGCTGAGCTTACAGGATAAAGCTTCTTATTGTAATCACACAGACTTTACCACAGAATTTATGGGAAGCATTTAATGCATGTTAGTTATTGTGAATATGTAAATTACCCACAAATTATTCTAATCTCTCTTATATTGCTGTCCTGAGTTCTCTAGCAGGCAAGGTGATAGTTTTCACTGTATAGGTTACAGGGGGAAAACAATTACAGAAAACTATGCATTACCAGATCCTTCCCAACTTGCACCTTACCTTTCTCCTGATACGTACGTCTCCGGCTGTCTGAACATGGCTGAATAACTCAGAGCAATTCTGTTCTGAGACTTAGCCTTCTCTGGATCTGTTTTTTGCTCACTGTCAATGTGACAGTCTGACTTTTCCTCTTAACACTGACAGGAATGAGAATATTCATTCATAAATTTTGCAAACTGATAATGAATTACATTTTAGCTCTTTTCTTCCAGAAGTTGAAACTAGGTAGAAGGATCATATGAAATGTTCAGGAAGCTACTTTACTTATATGCAGGAAAGAATGTCTAAGAATGAGAGTTGTCTAAAATTAGAATGGGTTGTCTTATCAATAGAGATGTTCAAGCATAAGACAGGTAGTCAGTTATATACATGAAGAAAATAGTAGTAATTTTTACTTGAGCTGGATGTTTACAAAAGATGAACTTGATCATTTTCAATCTTGCACATGCGAGTACAAGTTTGGACACAACACATGTGCTGTGCATATTTTCAGTTTAGCTAGGATGTGGGAGGCAGAATTCTCCCTTACAGCCAGCTTGGGGCAGTCATGGAGAAAATTCTAAGAAGTGAAGTGAGTTAGAGTTGGAGGGGAACTGAAGGCTTGGAACAGCAGTGGACATGTAGGTGATTGAATAAATACGAAAAGAATTCTGTCCCTTAACTACATACCGGAAAGTCCCATTGCTATAAAAATAATTGTTTTGTTTGTCTTCTTTTTTAATACGGTGCTTTCTAGGAATGCCCTTCAAACTCACATCTCATTACTAAATAAACACATACTGATTGGTTTTAGAAGCAGACTCTGTTTTTTATAAAAAGTTATTGCTTAGCACTAAATTAGATAATTGTAGAATTCCCATCTCTCTCTCAGTAAAAATAAATAACTATGATTTTCTATCATCTAAACAGAAGACAAATTCTTAAGAGGATCAACTCAAATCCTTAAATACAAAAGCTAGAAATCTGTCTCAGATGTGAAAAACTTGTTAAAGCATGGTATATTGTTGGAATGTACTTAGAGTTAATATGCTTCTCCAAAATCATATTGCTCCAGATTGTCTATCTTCTGTTACATGCATAAAAGTAGAAAATTTTTTTTTCAACATACACTTACATGATGCTCTGTAAACTTGATACTTTGATAGATACTGTAATTAAAAAGCGTTAATGGGACATGATCCTATCCCTTGAAGAGTGACAGATTCAGTGCCTACAATATGGCAGGCAATGTTCCAAAGTTTTCCAGCTATGTTACATCCCATTTCATCTTTTGACAATCTTCTGTGGTAATTATTGCTGTACCTATTTCACAGGTGTGAAATAAGGGGTTAGGAGGGATAAATTGCTTTCTCAGCCTGGAAGTGGCAGTACTAGTGTGCAAACCTACAATTTTAAACTTGACGCTCTTTCCACCGTACTGGCTTTCAAAATAAAACAATGCTTCTGTTAAAGGCATCATTCTCAAATTCCTGGAAAAATGTGTTTGTATAAATTTTTAAGTGAGATCTGAGAAAATTGCTGAAGACTAAACCTGCAGGTAGAATTGTGAAGTTTTCAAAATACGGAATTATGGCATATTATATGCCAAAGCATATATTTTAAATATATGTAGCCCAAAAGACTGAAATCTAGTCCCCAATCTTGCATATGATTTTTGTATTAGTTTTTATGTGATTTTAAAAAATACTTCATTAAAGTTCCTGATTATATACATATTGTGTGTATCAAAATCTAATAAATTCTGCACCGCAGAGTTGGAAGAAGGAGATTCTCTGACAGAGATTCTTTTTCCAGTTTTAGAAAGGATTTTGTAATTCTTTCTGAGATTTATTTTATGTGACTTTATATGTGTTTTTAAAAATATATATTTGAAAATGAGATAGAAACATATTTGTTGTCTAAACTTTTAAACAAGAGCCCAAATTTATTGATAATTTTTATCATCTCCATATTCCTGGTATTGCTACACTTACCTATATTCAAGATTCTGTTCAGCTACTTAAATAGACCACCACATTCACAGAAGCAAAATAATAACCAAGACACAGGGTCACGGTGCACTTAGCGTTGTAAACAGACACTGAGAAACACTGGGATGGTTTTTAAGACCATTTGAGTAGGAGCTGCCTTTAATTCTTTCCTTGTGTTAAGAGGGGCACCTGGGTGGCTCAGTGGGTTAAGCCTCTGCCTTCAACTCAGGTCATGATCTCAGGGTCCTGGGATTGAGCCCTGCATTGGGCTTTCTGCTCAGTGGGGAGCCTGCTTCCCCCTCTGTCTGCCTACTTGTGATCTCTCTGTCAAATAAATACAATCTTCAAAAAAAGAAAAAAAAAGAGAACTAGCTATTTGTCTGAGTTTAAAGCTTAATTCCTTTATTTATCTAAAATTATCTAAACTTATCCCTTTTGGCCACGCCCAGCCAACTTTAAGATCTCGCATTTCCCACCCTAATCTCATCCTTCAGACCTGTCCCACACTCTATTGCATTCTGTTTTATGTCTTCCTCCTCCTTCCTGATGCTGTGTCTAAACTGTTCTTCACAATGGTAATACCCTCCTCCACGTCAGTCCATTTTTATTATCTCAAGACCAATTTTATTTTTTTTAAAGATTGTATGTATGTATGTATGTATGTATTTTAGAGAGAGAAAGTACAAGCAGGGGCAGAATCCCAAAGAAACCACACTGAGCTCGGAGCCCAGCGCAGCCTCCATCTTAGGACCCTGAGATAGTGACCCGAGCTGAAACCAAGAATCTGCTCCCCTCAAGACCAATTCTAAAGTGTGCCTCCTCCAGGAAGCCAAAACTAATGAAGTTTTCTCGCTGGTGTCTATTTTATCCCTGTGCTACCATAGCATTCACCTAGGATCTAGAATCATTTCATAGAATTTTAGAATATTTGATCTGCAAAGTACTGTAGTGCCTTGCTGCTTAAAATGTGCTCAAGGGCCATCATCATACATAGAATTCACCTGGAGTTCTGCAAAAATGCAAATTTCAGCCGCAGCCTTAGAGTTACTGACCTAGAATCTGCATCTTCACAAGAACCTTGGGTAATTCAAATGTACATGAAAATTTTAGCAGCACTGTCCTGGTGCATTGGCATTGTGCTAACTTACTTTGTTCTCTTCTGACACATTTGTCCTGGCTTCCTAGTTAGATTTTATTTTTCTAATTCTATTTATTGAGTCTCCTAAAACGAGAAAGAAAACTTTGATAGAGTACATGGACATAACTAAGATCTGAGTCTTTGCTGTAGATACCAAAACTGGAAGGACTTCAAAAAGTAGGATTAGGAGCCGCTAATTAGCCTAAATTTCTTTAAAATGTGGGTGGGGGGGCGCGGGAGGGGGCAGGAGAATCTCCTAGCTTAATATGCCTAAAGTAGGCATATTGTTACTTGTGTTCACCCAGACAAAAAGCTTGAGAAGTGAAAGGATAGACTGAGGGAATAGTGAGTGATCCAAACGACAAAAAATTGTCAAGGAAAGTATGCCTGTGTATTTTTTTGTATGTATGAGAAAGAGAATCAGGCAGAGGAAGAGGGAGAGGCATTGACTGGAATTGAAAGTTAGAGAACCTGTATTCTTTTTGTTTTGTAGTTGGTAGAACCTTTAACTCCCAGTGGTACTGCACCCAATCAAGCTCAACTTCGTATTTTGAAAGAAACTGAGCTCAAAAGAGTGAAAGTACTTGGCTCAGGTGCTTTTGGAACAGTTTATAAGGTAAGCAAAAAAAATAACCCATACCACCAGTTATTTTTTGTTTCAGACTTCTTTTAAATAACAGCCAGAGCTATTGCTCTAGCTAACCTAACTTCCTTTTAATATTCAGAGAGGACAACCGGTATCGTATTGAGAAGTTGCTGCATAAAGGAATTCATTCATTTTTATTGAGCAAGCTGGGATGGAAACTAGCATGGGAAAGCAGGAAACTGTCACAAAGAGCCACAGCATATAGTCTTTCTTTCCATACCCTTCTGATCCACTTTTTATGTTGGCAAATTTTGTCCCTACCTAAAATGTACAGCTCGAGCCCATTTTCCTTCCCCTGCACAGTGCTCCATGGAATCCCAGACAGGCCTGAGCATATGTCATAATCCTTGTTCTTCTTCTCTCCTGCCCTTTTATTCCCACATCTCCCCCTCAGAATGACACTGCCTATCTCTTTAGAATCCACACAAATGTGCTGATTTGTTAACAGGATAGGATTAGGCCCCAAACCACTTTTTTGCCTACCTGCTAATATGATTTAGCAGAAAAATTTTCAGTTTGGATGTCCTCACCATTATATGCAAACTAAAAAAGTGACTTTCTTTGTGAAATTCAGGTTAGATAGAATGAAAGGTGAAATCATGGGTTTCCAATAAGAGAGATATTTTTGGAAAGGCAAAGTTCAGATAATGTCATCTGCATGTTTACTTATTTAGCTTAATGATAAAACCAATTTGGAGGCCAGGCCCAAGGTTAATTGTGGTGAAATTTATGTTTAACGTAAGTAACAAGTATAAGAAACTGCTGGGTTAATGCTAAATCCTTCTTGTGATGTCTATTAGAACAGTTCCCCAAATTTTACTTTGACAGTTTTATAAGTTTCTTAAAGCTATATCAAGCCTGCAGTTTTTACAAACATTTCTGTTAAAATAGACTGGATCTTAGAAATTTTGCACTTTAAAATGTTCATTTTTTTCTACTTAAAACAAATGTTTATTTAACAAAAAGTATTAACAACTAGAATATAAACCTTAATTTTCCCTCCTGAGTGTTCCAAAAATAATTTAATCTCTTTAAAATAAAATTATTTTATTCTAAGGCCTAAACGCAGAAAATTCTTAATCTCTTTGTGTGCATATTTTGTTTAGTTAAACTCAAAATTATAAAATGAACACCTAATTTGAGTAGAAACTATTCTCGGCTGACTTGGTGCTTTCTAGTTTTCAAATTATTTGTATATTCAAAGAAATATGACTTATCCTGTTTTTCTATTTATATTATGTTAGAAATAATTCCATTTCAAAGGTAACTCAATTTTGGATTGTTCCTACCATATAATCAGCTTTTTATTTTAAAGATGATATGGTCTGGAAAGTGAATTTTGTTTTAAATTATGGATACCATTTAACTTGAGAATAAATATGATCTAATGACCTCAGCAGGGAAAAATTACCCATTTAGACCTTTAATTATAAAGCTTTATAAATGTTTTTATTATGAATAACTATTTGCCTGTTGTCCATGAGCATTTAGCTTCATTGAAATTACTTGTATTGAAAGGTCCATAAGTGCATATCAATTTTATACCTATCGTATTTACAGTTGATGCTGTTTTAATTAACATACTAGCTCTTACGGAGGCATATTGTCTTAAACGGGAAAGAACTACTCTTGACCACAGAAATGCATATTAGCTTAGCTAATTACTTCATTGATTTTTCTCCTGGCTGGAGATATGCTGTGTTTAAGCATTAAAGATTTGAACCAATACCATGGATATTAGTGTAGTTGAATTTTTGTCTGGTCAGGCCTAGAAAATAATGACTATACTTATTTAAAAAGCAGTACAAGTTAATTCACACTGAATTTATATTCGTATTTCAAAAGTATACTTTGGGAATATTTTAATATTGATGCTATATCTTTATAAAGTAAACCCCCTCTGGTTACTTTATTGAATAATAGTAAGCCTGTTCTTTACCCTACATACCATCACTAAGAAAATGTAGCCTATGGATCTTGTGCTTCTTCCTCCCTATTTCTGCATTAATAGTTAAAAAAAAAAAAATTATACCACAAGGAACTTGGCTTTCTTTTTTTTTTTTTTTTGTACTTTGACACATAGATTTCCCTATTAACCCTAAGAAGAATGTAACTCTTAACTTCACCTTCTAATGGTTAAAGCCCTTTTTTTTCTGTATTATTCTGACTTTTTAATAATTCTTGTGTTTAGGTCTCCTCTTATATTATTACAACTTTCAATAACACAAATATATATGTTTTAGCATAGAAGTACAAAATGAAAAACATTTTTTTATGACTAGAACCAACTGATATTAAGAAAAACTAGAGATGTTCTCTTTAGGAATAAGAGAATTTTTCCCCCTTTCATTTTAATGTTAAAACTGGACTAAGAAGACTTTTTTGATGTCAGGGCTAATAAGCTAAAATTTGAGATTTTCTTGCTTCTGTGCTCATAAGGGAACACAGAATTTCAAAAAAAATTCTTCGATAATTGATGCACCCTCGATGTCTTACCAAAATTATTGTCCTTAATTCAAATGGTTGAATTGTTTACTCAGAAATGCTGTTATTTACCTTAATGTTGTACTTGACTCAAGTCAAGTACAACACCTACTTTATCCTTCCTAGTGTGTAGATCCTATTCAGATATTATAATGATATTTTTGTAGGAGGAGAGAACTGGCAATGACCAGTATAAATATTTTATATTCAGAGATAATAAAAATCCTTGACAAACACATACACAATATTTGATAATAAAGACAAATTAATATGTGCTCAGTTCTCTCTAGTACTTGCCTTTGAAAACTAATTCTTAAATAATCATCTTAGAAAACTATTTTTAAACCAATCCAATCTTCAGGAACACGAGAATATGCTTTTTTGTATCTTTATTTGTTTTAGTTGCAGAATAATTAGATAATATTAAAGCTGAAAAGAACCTCCAACATTACTTAACCCAGTCTTCTAAATTACAAATGAGACAACTAAAGATCAAAAATTGGAACAGTGTTCTCCAAGTCTTAAGAAATTGATATATCATCTGAATCTAATATTTATATCTTATTTCATTTCTGTCACTATTGAAAAGCTTTTTCACACATACAAATTGAATTTTATAATAGTAATGTTTTATAATGTAATAGTAAACACCTTGAAAGCAGAATAAATATATGATTCATCTTCAGATAATGAAAGGAGACAACAAAGTTGCTAAGTAACTTGTAACACATAACAGATATTAGATAAATGTTTGTTGATTGAATAAAAGAATATAGAACCTATAAATTATTTTTTAAGAAATTAATAGATTGAGTGGTTAAATCAAATTTTGTTTCTGGTATAAATTTGTATATCTTCATATAGATTTAATGTGATTTTTTCCCCCCAAAGGGTATTTGGGTACCTGAAGGAGAAACAGTAAAGATTCCTGTGGCTATTAAGATTCTTAATGAAACAACTGGTCCCAAAGCCAATGTGGAGTTCATGGATGTAAGTATAGACACCAGGCAACCACATTTTTATCCATTTTTAATGGACTGCTTTTAGAATTTAAAAAAAGAAAAAAAAAGAAAGAAATGATATACTCTACAATTAAAGCCTTGAGCAAAGGTCAGCAAACTTTTGCTTAAAGGACCAGAGAATAAATAGGCTTTTTTGTGCAATGTGGTCTCCATAGAAACTACTCAACTCCATCCTTTTGGTAAGTAAGCAGCCATAGACACTTAAAAACAAAACAAAACAGGGGTGCCTGGAGGGCTCAGTTGGTTGGGTGACTGCCTTCGGCTCTGGTCATAGTCCTGAAGTCCTCAGATCGAGTTCCACATTGGGTTCCCTGCTCAGCAGGAGTCTGCTTCTTCCTCTGACCCTTTCCCTTCTCATGCTCTCTCTCTCATTCTCTCTCTCTCTCTCAAGTAAATAGATAAGGTCTTTGAAAACAAAAACAAAAACAAAAACAAAAAACCCCACAAGAATGGGTATGACTGTGTTCCAGTAAACTTTATTTACACAAACAAGCTGAAGGCTAAAGCTCTACAAGCCAAATTCTGCTCTCAAGTGCTTTGTATTTAACCACAATGTAAAGAAAGGCAAATTGCATTTGGGAGTAGGAATGATGGCCTGAAAATTTAATTAGGCCACTTTATTTTATTATTGTTATAATCTACTAACAGAAAACATCGATCAAGATTAGTTTCTATAGTAAGTTAGTGTTAAATTTAAATTAGGAATCTACCTAAGTCAGATAATTACCAATTGAAATTTACTTTTTCCGTTCAAATTCAGAAGACAAACCAAATGGGTAAAAAGCTCCAACTGTAGAAAAATAAGAGAGTTCTGAAGAATAAAAATACTTTATGAAGTCAATCAGAACTTTAAGATTTCCCCTAGCAAAAATTGTAGATTGAGCTGTTCAGTAAATTTCAGACGGTAGGACAGATAAAATATGTATGTGGTATGCTGTTATTTTTTTCACATTCAACACAAGATAACTTGCCAGAGGTTCTATCAAAGACCCATGTATATATTCTTTCTTATTTAGCATAAAGTCTTCAATAATAAGAATAATTTTGATTTTCAAATGACCTTAATATGAAAGATGATGCAAGCATATGCACTTTGATTTTTAAAGACGGATTGCTATATATTCCTACCCAGTTTCTCTTGTAAGCTCTTTTTTAGGTTGTACAGGAGCTCAGTTTTTGATTTTGGATCATTTATTTGGATATAATGCTCACTCTCTTACATAGAGCTGCTTTTAGTTCAACAACATATTGGTTATTAGATAATAGAACTGATAATTAACTGGTACAAACCAGCTGTTCTGATCAGTTGGTGCTGTACCTTACCAGTTGCTTAATATTTTGAATACCACCTTTGTTACTTATCTACCAACACCTGACAGACATTGAGTCCAGTAACTAAATAGTGTTTCTTTCTGTAGGTGTCTAAAAGTTCTGACACTCTCTGCAGCTACATGTCCTGGCTCGTATAGTAAAATGTAAAACTGAAGCCTTTTTCAGTGATGTCACAATCAATTTGATCTTGATTATAGGTATATAGTTGTGAAGGGAATTTTCAAAGTAAAAGTTATGAAGAAAAAGGACAATGAATATACACAGTTATATGTTAATATGTAAGACGGATTAAAAAAAAAAAAAAAAGATCTTGCCCAGCCTAGACTGTAGCCAAAGCTGAAATCCACAAAATGCTAATAATCTCTGCTGGAGGCTTACACAGCCATTTTTGTCATATTTCCATGGAAACAGACCGGCAAAAAGGGGTTAAGAGGCTACAAAATAATCACCTAAGAAAGAAACTCTAAAAGCTTCATCATGATTTTTGAATGATTATTTGAAAGCTCCTAACCCCATCCATTTGTTTTTTTCCTGATCTGAAGTCGATTCCCATGGAAACGGGAGTGAGGATGGCAGCTGGAAGTCTTAAGATTTCTACTGAATTTTAGATGACACTCTGATTGAGCCATGACAGGGGTCATTTTCCTAAATGGTTGATAAATCTGGTGACCAACAGACTCCTAACAGTATGTTCTTTTTAAAAGTTTCAAAAAATATTTATTAGGGAAAATATTTTTACTGAGCCACTCATACCTCATGGATAAATGCTAGAAGATTAATAGATTGGTGGACTGCTATTGGCAATTTCAATAAATATCAAGCAGAAACACCTCCTACTATTTTCACAACTTCCTTCAAAACATTAGTATGACATCGCAATAATTAAAATAATTAAAATAATTAAAACAGTTGCACTGGCAAAGTTCACGATAAATTCAGATTTTAAGCAGGCTGGTGTAATTTGAATGCGAAATTGTCTACATTTCATACCAACATTGTTAGCTCATCTACTATGTGTGTAAATCATTATGAGTACTTAAATAACATGTCAAACTGTAATAGAAGGTTTCATGTGAGCAAATTTATTTATAATTTGGGCCTAAGAACTAAGTTAAAGTTGCTCATATTCCCAAGGTTATTAAGATAAAAGTCTTATTTGGCATATCTTTTAGTTTGGGTCCTTCCATGTGGTAAAGTATTCCAAGTTTAACTTTCAAACTCAAATAACATATACTGCAATCATGCTACCTTCTCTTTTGTAAACTAGTGTCTGTATGTATTTGTTTATCAGCATATGTTTTATGCCATTTTAAAGAAAGAAAATAAAGCTTCTGAAGACAATAGGAACTGCCTACTCATACTAAGCATTAGATCTCTTTGTTCCACCCTACCCCCAGCATGCAACTTTATAGTTGGAGTAGAATATTCTAGATTCAATAACTAGTACTACTAAGTTTATTAGATGTAGCTCTATGTTACTGGTTATTTTAATAAATGACAAAATGCAACAACTTAAAGCTCACTACATCCAATACTTCTATTGATATATGGGGCACAGGAAATGACTTTTATATTTTCTTAGAATTTTTACCATACGCAAAAATAAATAAGAAACAATTTGTATTCTATGAAATGCTATGCTAAAAGCAGGAGAAGGAGAATTTGGTCAGAAGGCTGTTACTCAACTCACCTGAATATGTCTAATGGATTCCTAATGACAATAGTAACACATAGCTAGTGAATGGCCAGTATGTCCTTAATTCCCATAAAGGAAGATCACATTGAACAACATTAAGAAAATGACCCTAGAGCTGCACCTTCTTAAGAAGAATATCTACATTTATACACACTTCTAGTTTTTGTTCCAAATAGCACCATTTCATTGGAAAAACACAGGGTATTATTATTTTTTTATTTTTAGTTTGGTTTTACCTTGTTGTCTTTTGGGTTTTGTGTTTTGTTTTCTTTTTATCCATCAAATGGTACAGAACACATACATAAAAAATGAGGCTATTGAGTAAGATTCCTGGAATTGGGGAACATGGTCTGGTCAAATCAGACAGACTCTTGAGTTTGTTTGAATTTCTACTACTGTTGTTTTGTTGTTGTTTTCTCTGATATTTAAGCCCACTATCACTTGACATTATTCTATATCTCTTGGAGTTGTGTATGTATTTAAATGTTTTATTTATTTGTTTTCTTAAAAAATATTGAGATTAAAAAAAAAAAACAATTATCCTAAATTCCAGTGACTGAATAATAATAATGCTTCAGCTTAGTGCTCTGTTTGTTGGCTTTAGCATCAGCTTTCTCATGCCAAGTCAACCACCTAGCTCCCAATAAGGTGCTCCAAGGAAATATGTTTCAGATTATCCAGTCTTACTGTGTAAATAGTCATATTTTGGGACACCTGGGTGGCTTGGGGGGTTAAAGCTCTGACTTCGGCTCAGGTCATGATCCCAGGGTCCTGGGATCGAGCCCCGCATCGGGCTCTTGCTCGGTGGGGAGCCTGCTTCCTCCTCTCTCTCTGTCTGCCTCTCTGCCTACTTGTGATCTATGTCTGTCAAATAAATAAATAAAATCTTTTAAGAAATAGTCATATTTCTCTTAAAGGAAGAAGAACTTGTTGCCCTCTCCCTGTACAATAGGAAAATCTATTTATCTTACATGATCATTGCACTATTTTCAGAAGAAATGTACATGTGAATTGTGCTTCCATGTTGCTCTTCCTTGTATTGCCTTTATGATATTCAATGACTTTTTTAAAAAATTGTATTTATTTATTTATTTATTTTTGAGAGAGAGAGAGAAAGTGAGCCAGCATGTGAGCAGGTAGAGAGAGGCAAAAGGAGAGGAGAGAGAATTCCAAGGAGGTTCCATGCTCAACTCAGCACAGAGCCTGATGTGGGGCTCAATCTCATAACAGTGAGATCATGACCATGAGATCATGAGCTAAGCAGAAACCAAGAGTCAGATGCTTAACTGATTGAGCCATCCTGGTGCCCCATCATATTCATTGCCTTAATGAGAGTTGTTCCAACTCTAACTGATATCATATTAATGGGTTGAGACAAATAGAATTTACTAGTAGAGTTTATATTTTCTTTCAGATTATAGCAGACTTAAAAAAACTTATTTGAAAAGATGTATTGTTCAGTAACATCAATTTCACATTATAAAAATAACATTTTTATGCTTATGACTTTACAGAGTTAACAATAACTCTTAGATCCTGTATCATACTAATAACGGATTTTTAAAATTCATACAATTTAATCCAATGATATCTTTAGGTCTTACAGATTTTGCTCATTTGCATACATGAATATAATTAATCAATTTTAGAGGTAAAAAAAATGCAAAATTCCTTTTTTAAATAGCCCATTACTTAGATGTCAAAGGATTCAACACTGCTGCCATGATCTTGAGAAGTCGGTTATAAACAATTCTTCTTTCCTTAAAAGAATTATAGCTAAAATAATTAAGAAAACATTTAGGCAGTTACTTTGCTTTTAAAAAATCAAACAATGTCTTCAAAGAGCGATTCTATAAACTCCATTAGAAATAGAAGTTAGTCTTTCAAAGCTCTCCTAAAAAGAAAAGAAAGGAAAGGGAAGGAAAAGTAAACACAAGAAA